AACATGCGCTCTTTGATCTGCCCTCTGTTGTTTTCGAATCTGAATCTCTCCAATCTTTGTGCCTCACAGACTGCAACTTGAGACGAGTCAGTTGTTTCGACAAGGAAATATTGTCCGTGAATCTCAAAGAACTCTTCCTTTGGAACGTTTTTATTACGGAGGAAATTCCTGAGAAGATAATATGTAGCTGCCCATTGATTAAATTGGAGCTCAGTAGATGCGTAGGGTTGAGAGTCATTCGAGTGGATAAAAGGGCTCGCTTTCTCAAGAGATTTACATTGAATGGTGGACAGAGTCTCGAAATCGACGTCCCATCTCTTGAGAAAATCGTTGTTTTTTCCCGTTTGAATTGGTATCACGACATGAACAACTATTTCCCTCTTCTCAAGTCTTTAAGTCTATATGGTGTGCGGCTCTCTATAGAATCGTTCTACTTCTTTTCGCTTAACTTCCCTTGCCTTGAATGTCTATCCTTTAAACATTGTTATGGCTTTGTGGAATTTGAGTTGTCCCACCGTTCGGTCAAGGAATTGGAAATCACGGCTGAGGAACCGTTAAACAGGGTTGCTATTGATGTGCCAAGCATAGTCATGTTTAAGTATGAAGGTTGTTGTGTTCCCGAATCATTTTCTTTCATGACAAATTCCAAAAAGTGGAAATCGGATATAACCTTGCCGCCTGATTATTTTTACAATGAGAACTCACCAAGGTTGGGCAAAGTAGGTCAACTACTCAGGGCAGTAAGCGGATCCGAAATCTCTCTAGATATTGGGGAGTTCGATCTATCTCCACAGTTTGTGCCGGTTTTTATGGACAATATATTTTGCATTTGTCGTCTGCGAATTATACAATGGTCTCATCTTGTTAGACCTGAATACATGTATATGCTCTACGAAACTTTAAAGCATATGTGCATGTTCCTCGGGATGGAAATGGGAGAATTTGTAAGTGTCCGTCATTGGCGTCGACAAGATCTTGAGAAAATAACATTTGAAACTTCTGATGACAACGAGGAAAAATGGCATCCTATCGTTGAGAGAAGTTGGTCCGAATTTCGGGATGCATTATCAGTCAGAATTCTGCGCTTGAAGCACCGAATGCGCTTTCGACTCACTTGGAGAGAATAAATCCACCAACCTCGTGAAATATTTAATTATAGGTACATTTGTAGGTTTTTTTTTTTGCAGCTGAATGTTTTGTTGAACATTGAAATTATGAAACAGAGGACGTTAAAATGCAGAGTGGCA